ACGCACAACAGGGGGAGGGGGGGATGGGGCGGCCCGAGCACCGCAGGGTACAGGGTGAAGAGGGAGAAAACCTTGAATCTTACATTCACTCGTCAGATGACCACGACCTCTGACCCCGGTGCGTGAAGCCTCAATCCTGAGTGTTCTGTAACTTTGCCGAGAGGACGACACCCCCGACATAGCTCAGCATGAGCTCTTTTCTCCTAAGTCAGGAATTTGGAACCAAGATATGGTGTCTGCAGAAGGGACAGACCCAACTCAGGGACCGATAACGGATCCCGCCAGCTTCCTTCAGGTGACCCTTGTTGTCGTTCCTGCCTGTCTCGGTTCACACAGAGCTTTGCCTCAGAAGCCCCTCGAGGCCTCTGGAAAACAGACGAAGGATAAACCTTAGCCGCCAGAAGTACACGTGCCGTATCTCTTCACCTGCAGCCCTCCAGGCCAGATATGTTTAAGAATTCGGCGTTTCTCAGGGGTGGGATATATACATCGTATGTTACGTAGCATCCCCGGCAGGGCACGTTACGTTACGAGCACATTAGTATTTCTGCAGCAGAATCTGCAAATATCCACACTAAATAGTTGCACGTCAGTTCAGCTCAGGGTCATAGCTGCCAAAGTAGCTCCACGTAGGTCAGACTTTGCCACCAGGTAAGCTACAAAAACCGCTTTTGATTTTCAGAGCACGGAGGGTTTTGGAATCATGAGCGGGGGTTTGTGAGTCGGGTCAGCAGACACGAAGGAGACCCCGGAACAGAGAACCGGTTCCGCACCAGCAGGGGCCCCAGGGCTGCAAGGCTCCCCCTCGGCTCCCACCCCGCCTGGGATGCTGGGCAACTGGCCCGTCTCTCTCTGAGCTTCTTTCTTCATCCATAAAATAGGAACAAAAGGAACCATGCGGTTTCAGGGACTCCGCAGGGGTTAATCTGTATGTAGTCGCGTCTCCTAAAAAGAAGCTGCTCTTAGGTCTGTGGTCTATTGTCACCCTCACCGCCCAGTGATGGAGGAACTAATGTTCCCTGCATCTCGGGCTGTGTCGGGAGAGGACAGTCATCAGACCTGCACTTATGTGAGCTCTGACTCCGTACAAAGCAGAGGAACCACAGAGGTGTTTAACTGCCGACAGCTGACTGTGCCATAACGCACAGGTCCCAAGAAGTCCCAAATCTGTGAGTTACCATTACTTTTCTGTAAATGTTCCAGTGAGATCCCGATTTTCGAGTCGGTGTCTGGAAACTCCTGGGAGTCTGGCTCCCGCCATGTCCACAAGGGGCTTCTGCACAGCCTAGGTGCCACCCGCTCTTACCGGCTGACAGGATGCAGTCCCCAGATGGAGCATGATGTGGGCCGTTCGCTCCCCATCAGATGAGGGACAGTGACTCAGAGCACCAAGGGACCCTCTGCCTTCCCTCAGTCTCAACACAGCCGACACATCGAATGAGTCCTGCCCTCACTCCAGCCTGGCCACTGATGAGAATCCTCCCAGAGCTTCTGAGAAACACACAGTCCCCAGCCCTAGCCCAGGCCCAGTCTGTCAGGAAGCATACCCAGTAATCTGTGCTCTCCCAAAACTTTCCTGCTGATTCTGAGACAGCATTTGGGGGTGTCCCACACCTTCATACCAGCCGGGCCTCCTGAGACCCTCCTGGAGAGAGAAAAAAGGGCGGGTGTGGCCGTGTCAGGGACGGAGCCCAGGCAGGGCACCTTGGAATGGAGACGCTTTATCCAGCCGCAGGCTCCCGCCCTGGCCTTGAACTCGAAAGGCTAGATGGCTGCATGTCTGTAGACCCGTATTTGGCGTTTTCAAGGCGTCAGTGGCCTCTGCGAGGTCCCCGGTGGTGCAGGGAGGAACCCACTGTGTTTTCAAAAGCGGGGGGTGGGGGGCGTGTCTCGTGTGGGGCCCAGCAGCCGACCCGGCCAGCCTGTGGGCAGGCGGCAGGCCCCCCGGGGGTACTCGAAGTTCCTCTGGGGCAGGCAGGTGGGAGCCTCCACCCTCTTGGGAAAACGGTCTTCACTGTCTCTGTTAATGGCACCTCAGTGACTTGACATCAGTCCCCAAACCACAAAACAGGGTTTTGCTTTAAGAACGTGAACATAGAAACTATGTGGACTAAATGTTCTCAGTGGAAACTGCTGATTTATTTTCTTATAAAGACGGGGAGAAAACCCCCTCAGCCTGGCCTTCACCCATCAATGAGGCTGGCTCGTGTGTGTGGCCGGAGGGGTCAGGTTTCAGGGCCTGGGGAGGGAGGAGTCGACGGCCGCTGTAGACGTCGTGGCTCCCTAGGGCCCCTGTCCTCGGTAGCCTCCCCTCTGAGATCTGCACGGATGTGACATCACACGGACATTTGTATCCCACAGAGGTCACCCTGTCCTCACCTCCATGTGTGCTCAGGGCCGGCTCCCTCCAGTCTAGTGCAGCCTACACCGTAGTCCTGGGCAAGCCGAGGACCCTGGACCATTCTTACCCCCACCCCCTCCCAGGAGCTCTGCCTTGGGAGGGCACAGAGCACCCCCTTGAGGCTGTGTAGACCTCTCCCGGGTCAGAGGATGAAGTGTAGACCTGTCCTGGGGCAGAAGTGCAGTGCAGACCCCTCCTGGGACGGGCTCACACACCCTGAGGGGTCAGGCGCAGACTCGGGCAGCTG